AAAGCAATGCCATTTGATGTGCATAATGATTGTAAAGCTGTTCTCTTTTCATTGCTTAAAAAGGATTCTTCCTCTCTACCCATTCTTAAAAAGAAACTTTCTCCTGTTCATCCAAAATATTTCATTATCATGCAAAATTGGCACTTAGATATATAGATATCTATGGCAAAAGTCACAATAAAAAACAAAACCACACAAGTACAATGCAGATATTATGGATTATAAATACAGTATAATTATTATAAATTAGAAAACAGACTATGAATATAATTTCAAGATACATAGCTTGACCTTGCATTATGAAGAGCTGTGGGTCAAAGTGCTACCTGCACACTGAATGCATATCTCTACCAGTTTCAATTGTCATTTCAGGTTATGTTCTCTAGGGAGAAATTTTTGACACTATGCATTATGAAAAAATAAAAAAATTCCAATAATCTCTTCAAGGAACATTCTACCTTTGCAGAAAATCATTCTGTGTCCATTTAATTCACCCACACAATTCCAAATGACATTTCTCACAAGAAGAACCAATTTAAATGATCTTTGGATAATCATTTTAAAATACCTACATCTAAAAAATGTATTCCTGTGATTAACCCACAATTGAATTGTGATTTTTTCCTGATTCCAAGGAGCCTCAGTAAGAAATCATACTGTTCTCTTCTTCCCACTATCCCTCTAAGTATTTGGTGCAATTTACCAGGTAAAGCAGCGCCAGGGGATGTTTTTGCCAACATAGCATGGAAGATGCAATCTATCCCCGAATTTCACTCTAAAAGTGAAAAAGTGTCACCACTAGCCTCTGGGATGACAAGCTGGTTATCCATAGATAGCTACCAATAATGACAAACTCATGACAAAGAAGTTTTGCCTGTTTAATACATCATTAGAAGATTGTTGGTAGTATTGAACATGGCAACAGGAGCTGTTTGAAGGCCGGGAGCTTTTCCTTCTTAAAATGTACCTTTTGAGACAACAACTACATATATCTCAGACCTTCCAAGTTTTAAGAAATGCACAACTAAGAACTTGTTCTAAGTGAGGGGTGCTAAGGAAGTTTGATAGCTTACTCTTGTCAATTGTTAATTCATTCCACTTCATGACTGGAGAGTCAAATGAATCCAAATCAAAGTCCATCATTGGCTTATTTCTACTGAAATCAGTACTATTTTTAATACTTGCAAAACTAAAAAAAAAATCTAAAACTTTTATTGAAGTTTTAACTTTTCTTAACACAATTAGATTTTATGTTTTTAGTTTAAAATAAAGGGAATAACCTTCATTTATGGTTTATTTATTTGAATTTGCAGTACAATTTCTCTTTAAAATTTAAATAATTGTTTCTTGAGGATAAAATGTATTTAAAAGAATCCTTTGAACACATACATTAGCATCTACCCGTTGACTATCCACATTTTTACATCTAGATAGACACCATTTTTGGGGTAGCTATTGAAAAATAAACACAGGAAGTCTTCTCCCACTCCTCTTAATTGCAGGACCTTTCTCCTGTTAATTATTTATTATTTATCTTTTACATAGTTTGCTTTGTATATATTTGTTTGCATGTTGTCTGCTCTATTAGACTGTAACCATGCCAAAGTATTGTTGGGTTTCCTACATATGGAATTCTCAAATTTGAATTAACTTTGGCTAATAATTTAGCATCTACTTATAATTGAAATGGAAAACACTTAGAGAAATGATGTTGAGAATTTTGTACTCTCCCCCTTCTTTTATAGTTATGAGGGTTCTAGCTGTAGTGAACTAATCAGTAATGATACAATAAGAATGAAACAAAAAGAGAACAAAGAGTTTCTTTATTCTGGGCTCTGGACTGTCATAAATCTAAATGATTAAATGAAGACTCTGGATGTCTAGATATCTTGAAAATGATTATTATGTTTATTCATATTCTGTATTTTAGCACCTATTCCTTGGACGAGAATGACAACAGAATCATTTTGCTACTAAAGTGTAAAGCCATTCACAGGCTTAGCTGGGGAGTAAGTAGGTACAGTTTCCCTTATCACCTACCATTTTATTACCCTTTCCTTGCCCCTAGCATAGGATCACAGAAGATACTCACTCCATCTGTCAGCTATTGACATTTTCCCTCTGTGCCTGGGACGCTCCCTCCTCTGCTCTATTGCCTTCTATGAGTTCTTTGAAGTCCCAACTAAAATCCCACTTTCCAACAGAAAGCCTTCTCCTACCCCTCTTAATTTCGATGTCTTTCTCCTGTTGTAATTTAATATTTATCCTATATATAGCTTGCTTTGTATATATTTGTTTGCATGTTGTCTTTTGCATTAGATGGTATGATCCTTAAGAGCGTGGACTATTTTTTGACTCTTTGTGTACTGCCAGCCCTTAGCACACTGTAGGCACTTAATAAATGTTTATTTATTGATTGATTTAAAACTGAAAGAAACCTTAGAGACCATCTAATCCAGTACTTTCATTTTACTAGAGGAAACTGAGACCCAAGGACTTTGTTGCTTGCCCGAGATCACACAGGTAGTGTCAGTGCTTAGATTTGACTTCACACCTTCTACCTCCAGAGTCACTTCTCTTTTCATTGTACCAATCAAAACCTGACCTCATGGATAAATCTGGTAACTCTGCAATAGACACTGGGGAAACATTCCTGGTGAAACAGAGAGTTTTCCTTATCCTTTAAATCCCACAGCACACAGCCTCTTCATAAGGGCATCCTTGACACCACTAGGAAGTGTTCAGTCCAATACTGATCTTCCTTTACTTGCAAAGATTCACTTGTTACAGAAAGGACAGAATAGTGACTTCTTTATATCTTATTTTCTATGACAGACACAAGTCATTTGCAAAAATATCTATACATGACTTGTGGGTCACATGTCCTAGAATTTCAGTGCTATCCTGGTCTGTTAGAGCTATGTGAAAAATCTGACCCTGAGAATAACACTTAGCTACAATAAGATGACACTGAGGAATAAACTCAATTAGTGAGCTAATGGCACAGATTTCTTGATGTCTAGGGAATAGTTCTACAATGTTTTTAGGCTTATTCTATGATAATTCTGACATGAAGAATATGTTAAAGCAGTTCTCCATCAAAGTTCTCATTCTCCTGCTTTCTCAACATGCCTACAAAATGTGCTTGAGAAAGTGAGGTCATTAGAGCAATTATTCAATTGAAGAAGATTCTCTTCCCTTAATTATTTCGGTTCAGTCATAAGTGATTCTTATTTGGATACTGTAGTTACCTTAATTCTCCACTTCATTTTGTGTTTGTAGCCACATTCTAAAAGTAGGGGGAAAAATCATTAATATCTTCAGTCAAGATATTCTTTCGGAATAATGTGCACAGAACATCGAACTGATTGTTTGGTGTTTGAAATGAGAGATGAGGGGCTAAAAAAGAATTACTCATTATCATTGAAAATTCATGGAAAATGAAGGCAATCTCTGAAAAAATGGCCTTCATTTTCATCTCAACTATGACCCCCACCCATTAGACCTTGATGAAAGATCTTCTGTGTAAGCTATGCCAATGGGAAACAATAGGGTGGAAGAACAAAGCAATTTATGATGCAGTGAGTAAATAGAATGCCATGAAATGATGGGAGAGCATCTAGTGCCCAGTTCTGACATGCTAAAATTTGGTTCAGTGAATCATTCAAATTTTTTATCTTGTGGTTTATAGAGATAATTAAACATTAGAAATAATGTATACGTTAGTTATTGTTAACAGTCTATGTGTGTATTCTTTTGCGGAAAAAAAAAGAGACTTAAGAATTCAAAGACCTTATTGTAGAAACAATTCAATGACTTATTCATTTGGTTCAACTATAATGCTAAATTTTGGTCCAATGAATGGCACAACATTATAAAATGTATAAAGCTGTTCATGTTGAAAGATGGTGGAAAGTTTAGCTATTAGAAAAGTAATTTATGAAAATTTATTAGTGACAATTATAAAACTCGTTAATATTTTAAGCAGCAGTGACAGCAATGGTATTTTTACATCTTTCTTTTCCTTTTTTTACTCTTCTTTTTAACCTGGACAATGTGCAATGTTTTATGGGGCACTTCAAATTTTTTTTTTTCAAAATCGACTCTTCAGATGGGATAATAGTCTTTTTAAAATGGAGATTTCATTAAAGAAAAAGGAAGTCCTGCAATGTGATTAAAGATCATGTCTTAATCATAATGGGGGAATTTTTTCATCTTTCATCAATCAATGGCATACTTTCATCACCTTGTAGATATCTGTATCTTAATGACTATAATTTTAACAATGTCCAGAGTAATATATCATGATGATGGTTCTTGCTGAAATAAAACACTGAAATTCCAATGTAATGATTTCCAAATTTTTGGCACTCAGGCATTATCTACCTATTTATATTATTATTATTTATCATTACTATGTAAAGGAGATGATGAAAGAAAGGGTCAGTCCAAACTGTTTAAGTTGGTATATTTCCAGAACTAAAGTACAACTTATTTTCTTCATGATATTATAAGTTATTCTGTTGTGACATTCAAAAACTATTCTGTAAGCTATGATTTAATGTGTCTAAACTCTGTATGTGTGTGTATGCATGTGTGTATGTGAGTGTGTGGCATGTAAAAATAAAACCTTTAGAAGTAAGTGTGATTGTACAAAAGGAAACCATACATTTTCATGTTTTATGCATCTTTCCACAGGAGATATCCCGTGGTTCTCTGGATAATACTTCAAATGTTTATAAATCAATTGATGAGGAGGTGGGAGGGGAGGGGGGAAAGGCCATTTATAGATTAGAAATTAATTGTAATAACCCTATCAAATTTGACCACAATTGAGCCTAGCAGGGCAAGCTGTGAAGCGATCATTTCACAAACAAATTTTCCAAAGCATACAAAGTTAATCCATGTGCTGCTGAGATGAGGCACAATAATAAAGAAGCATCACTGCGGTAATCTATGGCTACAATGATGGTGTATGACTTATGATTAAGCTTCATTACCTGCAGAGCAAGGGGCTTCCATCTCATATTTTTCAGTAAAGCTGGTGCTGAGGTAAGCATGCTCTGAGGTCGCTTTTTCAAAGTTAAGATAACACCACTCGGGTCCTCTCGTAGAGCATTCACCAAATTTTTCAACTGCCACCCCACCTGGTAACCAGCAAAATCATCACAATAAAATTGAGGTACAGCATTCAAGATTCCATGTTTTCCCCCTTAAATAAGATTAGTAAAAATGACATCATAGGCGTACCACCATAAACATTTTTAGGATTTAAACTCAAGGAAACAACAACAACAATGAATTTTGAATTAATTAACCAAGTTATCCCAATAGGGTCTGTTACCAGGCAATACAAAAGACATTTATCACAGAAGACCAAAGGCTACAACAGACATTCTTTATGGAACACAGTAAGTTACAATGGAAAGCAATGCCACAATTGAGATCGCCCTTCTCTCTAGTCCAAACCATGAGCTTCATTTTAAAATTAAGTATTCATTTTTCTTTGGGGGGAGGGAGGGTGGAAGCATAGATTTGTTATTCATTCATGTAGGGAATTCCCTATGAGAAAACTCCATCTACCAGTGCAAGTCACACCTGATCTCCAACTTGTAGTTAGAGAGTTACATGGGGGCATAGAGAGGTTAAATAACTTGTCCAGAGTCACACAGCCAGGATATGCCAGAGACAGGACTTGAACTCTGAAGCTAGCCTTCTATCCACTATGCCAGGGACTCTAAGCACTCATATGACAGAAAAAAACATGGAACAAGCCTAAACAACATCCTGAATTTAAATACTGAGTTATGGTTGTCCCCCTCCCTCACCTTCTTTTAAGTCTATATGGTTCTTTTGTCTCTACTTCCAAATGCGGGCAATGTCATAACCTCAGTAACTGGTACTGACAACAGCAAGGCTGCATTCTGATGTATAGAAGGAAGATTCAATAAAAAATCTTGTAATGGGCTATAAAACTAAAATAAAAAATGACAAGGTAATGTTACTTGCATGCAACAGCTACTACAACTGTATGCCAAATGAGCCCATAAACTTCAGATGCAATATGTAGGATTTAATGAAGCTATCCTATTTGAATGCCATCCCCAAACATATTATCTAATTACAATGAAGTACTTGAAAAATACTCCAAAATCTGACTTAACCATTAGTCCTTCTAGATTACTTCACTCATTATCCACTTTTATTTCATAAAAAATTAGGCAGCATTATTTCTATTAATTTGTTTTGTACATTGACTTATGATGGATTGCCAAATAGCTGAAATCCTGGAACCCAGCTTCATAGGAGGGGCTGGGAACAGATGCCACATTTTCTCTTATTACCTTGAAGTTTGTTGAAAACATTACACTTAGCAAAGAGATTAAAAAACAAACAAACAATTTTCTCCCCCACAAAGATAACCATAATTGTCAGAATTTCTTCTGAAAAGTACCTTAGGTCCCAAATTAGTTTGAATTGAGAGGAGAGCTTAAAAACCTACATTTTTCAGTCTGCCTAATTTTTTCCTAGTCATCAAGAAAAGAAAGCAAGTAAGCTTTTTCTGTTAGCTAGCTGCATATAAGGAGGAACTATTTGCCCCTTCGTATGTTGCCTGATTTTTCCCAAAAAAGGCGGCATAGAACACTCGGAAGTTGTACTGAGAAAGTAACTTAGGAAGGAGTTAGTTTAGAATGATGCAAGACACCATGGTAAGCTTTCAGCAGTTTCTTCTTATGGAGAAGTTGCTTAATAAATATTGATTGATTGATATAACTTGATTTCAGTTTAGAATTCTACTTAAAAGACAGAAATATGGGAGGGATAATTGACAAAGGGATAAGGGATAAAGTGGAACCACATTTTATAGTTGAATTAAATGTAAACACAAGAATATTTTTACAAAGTTATAAATCCCAATTACATTTAAATTGGGAGGAGAGATGGAGGATGAAGGCAAGGAATTGATTCCAAAAACGGATGGTCAAAAGAGAGTTTGGGGTTTAGAATCACAATAGCTGGATCTAATTCCCACCTCTGTCACTTACTAGCTATGTATAAGTGCTGTTATCTCTTTGGGTCTCAGTTTTCTGAATTATAAAATGAGGGGATTAGGCTAGGTTCTTTCAAGGTCTAAATTTAAATCCTGAATAGGAATAGGTAGGTGGCACAGTGGATAGAGTACCAAGCCTGAAGTCAGGAAGACTTGTCTTCCTGAGTTCAAATCTGGCCTCAGATACTTATTGGCTGTGTGACCCTGGGCAAGTCACTTGACCCTGTTTGCCTTGGTTTCCTCATCTGTAAAATGAGCTAGAAAAGGAAATAGCAGATCACTCCAGTATCTCTGCCAAGAAAACCCCAAATGGGGTCAGGAAGAGTCAGACACGACTGACATGACAACAACAACAATGACAACAACAGGAAGAGCTGGGCAATTCAAGGCTGTATGGTGATGATTCCACTAAATGTTTGCAAAAAGCTCTTAATTTTTCCCAAAGGATTTTCAAATATGTGAACTCATTTGATAATTCAATCGATAAGGATCAACAGTGATGGAGCCAGGGAAAAAGCCTTACTATATACTTTAAGAAGGAATTCTCTGCAAAAGCATATGCACACTGAAGCATTTGGTAATCAGGATGTCATAGAAACCATTTCTGCACTGGAAGAAGAAAATACAACATGAAGTTACATCCTATTGTCTGTCCTTCCTACAAAGGAAGACTACTCAGCCAGCACAGATGATGAAGTGAGTGGACTATAGAGTTCCAACTAGGAGAAATAGAAAATATCCCTAAGCAAGAATTGCCTCTAAAACATAAACAATGGCAATGATTTCAATAAACTATTCTTTCATTCAAAGAGTTATTTAAACATAAATGCAGTCACTATGGTATGGGCAACTCTAGATTGCCACATGTTCTTTCAGTATGTCCATTTTCAACAGCTAAAGATACATTAATGTTTTAAAAGTCACCAGCTTCAAATTAGGAGAGTGTGGAATAGTTTATTTCTCAGAGCTATTGATAACGGAAGAATTTAGAACCAAAGAAAATATAGAGAGCATTACAAAATGCAAAATAAATAATTTTGATTATATGAAATTAAAAAGGTTTTGCACAAATAATACCAAGGTAACCAAAATTAAGGAAAAGCAGAAAACTGGGGAAAAATTTTGCAACAAGTGTCTCTGATAAAGGCCTAATTTCTCAAATGTATAGATAACTGAGTCAAATTTATAAAAATACAAGTCATCACTAATTGATAAATGATCAAAAGATATGAACAGGCAGTTTTCAGACAAAGAAATCAAAGCTATCTATAGTCATATGAAAAATGCTCTAAATCACTATTGATCAGAGAAGCATGAATTACAACAACTCTGAGGTACCACCTCATACCTATCAGATTGGCTAACATGACAAAAAAGAAAAGATGAAATGTTGGAGAGGATGTGGGAAAATGGGGACACTAGTGCATTGTTGGTGGAGTTGTGAACTGACCCAATCATTCTGGAGAGCAATTTGAATATGCCCAAAGGGCTATAAAGCTGTGCATAGCAATACCTCTGCTAAGTCTATATCCCCAAGAAATTAAAAAAGGGGAAAAGGACCCACATGTACAAAAATATTTATAGCTCTCTTTTTCTGGTGGCAAAAATTGAAAATTGAGAGGATGCCTGTCAATTGGGAAATAGCTCTAAACAAGCTGTGGTATATGATTGTGATGGAATATTATTATGCTACAAGAAATGACAAGCAGAATGATTTCAGAAAGACCTGGAAAGACTTACATGAACTGATGCAAAGTAAAGTGAGCAGAACCAGGAGAACATTATACACAGTAACCATAATATTATATGATGATCAATTGTGAATGACTTAGCTATTCTCAGCAATACAATGATCCAAGACAATCCCAAAAGACTCACGATGAAGTATGCTCTCTATCTCTAGTGAAAGAACTGATATCTGAATACAGACTGAAGCATACTATTTTTACTTACTTTCTTTTATTCTTTTTTTATTCAAGTCTTCTTGTACAAATGACTAATATGGAAATATTTTACGTGATTACACATATAAAAAATAAAGGGGAGTAATATCAGATTTGAAAGACAAAAAAAATCTTCTTCCTTTAACTTCTTTAATCACCCAGGCCACTGGTTTGGTTAAGGCCAAGCATCATCACTTCATGTGGTAGAGTACTAAGACAAGGGCACTAGAAATTTAGGAAATACAACATTCTTTACCTCCTTTTCTCAGCTGATTTAAGTGAACAACTTATGTAGATAGAGATAGAAAACTCTGACATGTTATTCCATATGAAATTTCATCTAGATTCTAAATCTTCCCACCTAGCATTCTTTTGTCTCTACTTTCAAATGGAGCTAATGTTATACCCTCACTAACTGGTACTGACAACACCAAGGCTACATTTTGATGTATGGAAGATTAGCATTGGGCTAGATTAGCATTGAGAATGGTTATTTAATTCTAAGGAAATTAGTGCATTGAGTATCTCAAAACATTAAATTACAATCAAATCGAGTAGTTCTCAACAACCTTCCTTGAACCACTACCAATAGCTAAACAATATTTAAAAACAAAACAGAAACAAGAACTTGGACCTACCACAAGAATGGAAATACGTTAGCTAGACATTTGTCAATGTTAAGAAGTAACTAATTAGTATAATTTGTTAAGTGATGAGAATATTCAATAAAAATGCAGAAACAGAAAGCCAAATATTGTGAAGCAGATAGGTGGCACAGTAGATATAGTATAGTAGTCAGGAAGACCTGAGTTCAAATCTGAGCTCCAACACTTACTATGTGATCCTGAGCAAATCACTTAACCCATTTGCCTCAGTTTTCTCCTCTTTAAAATGGGGATAAAAGCAGCACCCATCTCTCTCAGGATTCGCTGTGAGGATCAAATGAAATAATAATTGTATAGTGCTTAACACAGTGCCTGACACATAGTAGGTGCAACATAAATGTTAGCTAGGAAAATATGTGAGATAGCTGAATTATATTTGTTGGAGCACAATTTCACTGTTTGGAGATAGATTTTTAAAATTAATGAACAAAACAGGCCAGAAATTCATGACTTAAGGTTGTCAGATATATCAGGAAAGCATTAGAATA